GAATTCCTCCTCTGCTGTAGCCGAGTCAAAACTCAAACAAAATGTAAATGTTTGCAAAAAAAAAGAAAATTATCATTACATAACATATGATCGGAAGAAATTGTAAAATATTTTAAAACTATTGATATTAAGAAAATAGTGGACCTATGGGATTCCGATAAAGTTATTACTTCCATAATAGATGCAGTCGCACCCCAACTTGATATCTTTTTAATATTAGTATAGAATCTGGTGTGTTTCCTGATTTATTAAAACATAGTAAAGTTATACTTTTATTGAAATCTTGTGGTTCATTGAGCCAAACACAATCACGAAAATTATTTTATATCAAATATTAACTTCTTTAATTTAAATAAATCACTCCATAAAAAATGAGTTTGGTTTTACAAGGGATAGATCGACAACTTACGCCAGTTTTAAGCTGATTAAACAAACTTTCTGTGCGTGGGAGAGTTCAGAGGATGCTTTGGATATATTTTGTGATCCTTTCAAAGCTTCCGAGTGCGTTTACCACGAGACATTAATCAGGAACCTACATCATTATGGTGTAAAAAACGTAATGCTTAAATTTATAACATCATACCTAAATAGTAGAATGCAAACAGATGTTATTAATGGCAGCAGTTCTTTCATATCAGTAGTATCGTAAAGAAGGAAAGTTTTCGTTAATACAACGAAATGTATTTTGTTTACAATACCAAATGTTAAGCATGTGAATACTAGTGGGCTTTTAAATGGGGAAGAGCTGAATCTTATTGAATACACTGTGTTCTCGAAATCACAGTGGACGTGAAGTATCATTGTGGAACTCAAATACATAAAATAGTAAACTTAGTCCTGCAGCATACGCTGTAAAAAAGATTAGAAACCTTTGCATGTGCTAAAACAGCAAAATTTGTTTATTTAGTTATTTTCATACTATAATGTCATATGAAATCTTGCTAAAGTGTAAAGCGGTAGACATTGAAACAATCCTTGTTTTGCAGAAGTTAGCCACACGAGCAATTTATAACCTATGTCCGAAGGAATCCCATAAAAGAAAAATTTAAAGAATTAAATTTGTCATTTCAATATATTTTCGAAAATTTAATGTATGCACACAAAAAAATAGTTTATTAAAATAGTGATGCACATTCTGTTAATACTAGGAATACGCACAAGTCAGTTATACCCATTACTCGACTTTTATTTTATTTATTTATTTATTTATATATTTGTTTAAGAATTTTATAATTACAAAGATGAATAGTTTTAGTGTAAACATAAACTCATTAGAGTTTTTCATACACCATTGCTGTCGACACATTATTCTAATTAACACTTTATATTACATTACCAAAGTTACATTAATATTATTACCAACTTAAATTAGGTTCATTAAATGTTATGTTTCTAATTGACAAACTATTTATGGGTACAAAAATATAAAATAGTCTTAGGCGATGAGCGTAAAATCACATGGTGAACTTATTACATTCTGTGAATAATCGTGACACAGGATGATTATAACATATATTTTTATAAATTTATAATAAGATAATATGTTGGTAAAGTAAACCAATAATATAGAACGAGAAGTTGTTTAAAGTGTTACGAGTATTTAGTAAGAGTTAATTGTATATAAGAAAAATTTAGTTTATATTTTATGTTTTTACGTGTAATGACGTCTTTGGATGAGCCAATTTAAATCCGGGGTGAACGAACAGAAAATGGTCGCGCTAATGGCCAGAACACGATAGGGTCTTGGGTTCGATTCCTGGGTCGAGCCAAAACCCCATTACGCGGGATTGATTTTCTTGGGGACTGTATGCGTGGTTCCCTATAACCCAAACAAGATGGCTGATATGGCACGTGGCAGTCTTGGACGATGCACACGCTATCATCCAATCTATTATTTAGCCAGTATACTGAGATGGGATTCTACATTTGTTAGGGGAAAAAATATAGTAAAGAAAATAATCAGCTAAAGGCAATCTGAGGAGCACTTACCTGGGTAGAGTTCCTTTTGCCGGCAGCCTCGCGGACTACGCTCCTGGTGTTGTGACGCGTTGGAAGAGATTGGTGGTGCACGACGATTTCTTGCACTATACAAGGCGGTTACTTCTAGATTGTTCTGTGGCTGACTGCCACAGATGTGCAATCACAACTAGCGATTCTTCGACTACGATGCAAGAAAAACGAGCGGTGGCAGAGCTGGCTCTTTTATTGGTCGGCCATATCTATCATTTACATCTCGCTGGGGCGCGTTTACTATTAGCCATGTCACATTCTAGACTCTCTCCCCCCCTTTAGTGCGTGTGGAATGGAATGCGTGGATAGGATGGAGAGAGACACTGGTTAGATACTTATCTAAAACAAAATGCGAGAATATCCGTTTTTTCCGCGCAATCAGACTTCAAATATTTAGTAATTCCTTCATGGGTCAATTTCAGTCAAATTTTAAAAGCCCCAGAAAATATGTAGGCCTTATCTATCAAAAAGTTTTAATTTTTTATTAAACAGAAATTGTTTATATAGAATTATTATACATAATACTTAAGATTATATTTTTATTTTGAGAATATGATTGATAATAACCCCTGGAAATGGGGTGATCGCTACCGCGCTGTTTCTTGCGTCTTCATACCAATTGTAATTGTATAAAGTAATATATTGTAAATTGATTTTACAAAAGAAAGTTCCGCTAGGTTAGTAGCGGTTCTTTCCAGGACAGATGTTTTTTTTTTCCGAACCAGTGGTAAAAGAAAATATGACTTTCAATAAGTATTCTTGTAATCTACATTGAATAAAAACGATTCTAATCTATTGTGTTCTATTCTATTCTATTATTAATTTGTTGTGCAGAGTTTTACAAAAATAAATTGTACAAGTTTGAACAGCCAGATCGAGAATAATTACGGGTATGCTATACAAATAACTCTTTTGGACAGGAATCGAAATTGTGGCCCACAGCGTCTCAATCAAACGCATAACTACTGCGCTCCTGAGCCGACAAATGTACCTATTCCTTTACTAATAACACATACAATTTGAAGTACTTATTTAGTTTTTAATCGTTTTAGAAAAGGAGAAGCTTTCAATTAGTCTGTAAATAATGTATTTGTTATGTATGTTCCGGCATAACTTCCTTGTTTCGACTTCGATTCGACATCAAATTATTATTATTTGTTAAATAGTTTATAGTACTTAAGATGTGGTCGAACATCAAATTTTGTCCCTAAGTTTGGAAAAATAGAGAATGAAGATTTTAATGTAACTATTGAGAAGACATATTAAATTTTCAACAATGATCATACTTATAAGAATATTGAAAAATTAAATCCACGGAGAATTAATGAAGTCGGTTCTTACTTTTTTTTTTTCGCTTGTGCAACACTAAGTTAAAGTATATCCTAAAGTTTGTAACAGAAATGTTCGGTAAATCTCAAACACATTAACATATTTATTGAGTTTGTATTTGTTAAACACACATGCTTAGAATTCTTGGTTGCTTGTAATTTTGTTGTTTTCTAACGTTGGGTTTACCCAAAACTTTGTTATGAGGGTCAAAATGGCGGTTACGGACTTAAGTTGTGACTTTTTTAAGTAATCAACTTTCAAGATGAATTTAGATTAATGGGTGTCTTAGTGAAGCAAAATTAGCTTAAAAATGTAAATGTATTGATAAACCACAACTTGCATTTCTTAAATAAACTAGCTTAGCTTTATATAAGAACTAGCTGGCCCGTTAGATGTTGTTCTAGCTTTCTCAGTAGATAGCACGTTGAGTTTCAGTCACCTGGTATGTTACAGTGTAAATATTAAGTTTCTTTAATAACTTGGCAACGGAGCCATATAACAAATAATTTTTACGTAGACTCATTTATTTTGGTACATAAATAAAGTATTAGTTAATAACTTGACTACAGCGCTAAATCGGATTCTACGAGTAGCAAAGCTCTGAACCGTCATCTCGACAAAATAAATATTACATTATATGAAGACCTCAATCGTTAAAATGTAGTAGCAATTACACGCTACCTGACAAATGCACCAACAATTACATAATATTATATAAAGATAGAAAATGTGAATATGAAAGTAAAATGAAATGGAAACACATTTTTTGACAAATTCATTTTTATAATTATTGAAAAATTAAAATTTTGTTTCTCAAAAATCAACATGTTTTTTTATCTACTACCGTATCAAAATGAGAATCAACTGTTCGGAGAAGACACAAACTTCCTTTTTGTTGGTTGTAAAAGATAACTTATTTAGAAGTCCGAATTTTAATATATGTAGCTCCACCTTTTGAAGTCCTAAGAGCCCGAAGCTACTGATACTAAAAATACAATATAGTATGTGCCTTAATTACTCACGAAAATTTTATTTTACATACCAAATTTAACCCATGCTTTACTTCACAAAGAATATGCATGATAGAGCCGCACATAAGCATATTATAACTTCAGCATATTATAACTTCAGCACGAATAGGTTGGCTCCACCTGTGAACGCTCATGCTCGAGACTAATATTTGGTAGTATCATTTGGGCAATTGCTCGCATTTAATTATTTAAAAAAAAAGTTACCCCCACACTAGAATTTATAATAATAATAATAATAACGAACTAGAGCAAATGAGGAGCATATTGGATGAGGCGATTTTGGAAACGCGCAGCACCCCTCTCGAAAATCGACCGCGACTTCCCCGCATACCCCTAAGCAAGTGAAATCAGGCTGTCGTTAGGGCTCTTATCCCAATGCTGGTGACCTATTTGGAAGCCAGCCGGGACCTTTGCGAGACGGACTCAATTCTTTTCGGCGCCGCAATGGCAGTTTGCCGTATTATTGGCGCCAATATTCCCATGGCTGGAAGCGCTACTACACAAAGTAGCGCCATCCCAGCCTGGTGAAAAAGAATCGAGGACCGTATCGCAAAGGCAAGGGCACTTATCGGCAGACTGACAAGCTTCAGGTCGGGTAATAATAGACCGAGGATTGTGCGCACCGTTAGGATGGCGTTTGCTGGGACAAATATCAGTTTGTCCCAGCCGGATATCACGCAGAAACTAACGGAGCGCATAGATGACCTGAAGCAAAAGATCGCTGCTTGGGGGAAGCGGATTCGACGATTTACCGAGAGGTCAAGGCAGTTCAACCAGAATAGTCTCTTCCGGAGTGATCAGAAGAGGCTCCATAAATCATTGGAGCGACCAAAGGTATGTGGAGCGGGCCAAAGACCGGATCAGGCTGACATTATCGCATTCTGGCGTGGCCTGTGGTCAGAGCCCGTAAACCACAGCGAGGGCCCTTGGATGGAAGTTGTAGCGAGCCAAGGTGCGAGTGTTACGCCTATGGACCCCATCACCATAACGCCGGAAGACGTGGCTGAGGCGGTCCGTAGGGCCCCGAACTGGAAAAGTCCGTGCTCGACGGGCTACATAATTACTGGCTGAAGGGGTTCATAGTGTGTCACGCTGTGCTCGCCCGACAGTTTCAAGAGGCTCTCGACCAGAAGTCGCTCCCGAGCCTCTTCACTACTGGGACCAGTCACTTGGTTCCTAAAGAGCCCCATCACGTGTCTACCCACCATATATAAGACACCGACATCTATTTTGAGCGCGAAAATCACTCGTCACCTGAAGCTAAACCAGGTGATGTCACGAGCTCAAAATGGATGTCGGAGCGGTGGAACCAAGGAATTACTCCTCATTGACGCGGTCATAGGCAAAGTGGTGAAACGAAACCGTCGGAACTTCTCTGCCGCCTGGATAGATTACAGAAAGGGTTCGACTTGGTGCCCCATACATGGCTAAAGAGGGTCGAGCTGTACAATATTGACTGTACAGTTAGAGACTTCCTCGTGCAGTGTATGGGCAGTGGAGTACGATCCTCTGTTATCTGGGCGAGCGGATTATGGCTGCGGAGAACCACATAAGGATAAGAAGGGGTATCTTCCAGGGCAATTGTCTGAGTCCAATCTGGTTCTGCCTCTCTCTGAACCCTCTCAGTATCTTACTGGAGGACTCCGGAGGGGGGGTTTCAGATACGGAAAGGAGGGACAAAAGTCACCCACCTTTTCTATATGGATGACCTCAAGTTATTCGCCTCTAGTCGCTCCCATCTTATGGAATTGCTAAACATCACTTGTGAATTTAGCAATTCCATTGGAATGGAGCTGGGGACGGATAAGTGTGCGGTCCTCCATGTTGAAGGGGGCGGGGTTGCTCACTCTGATAGACAAGTCTATGCACGTCAACATAAGGACCCTTTCCGAGGCTGAAACATACCGATACCTGGGTATGTCACAGAACATTGGTATCGATGAAGCTGGTATGAAACAGTCAGTTAGCGACGTGTTTTATGCACGCTTGAACAAAGTGCTTAACAGCCTTTTGTCCAGTGTGAATAAGACACAGTATAACGGCTGGGTCATGCCTGTCCTAATGTATACCTTTGGCATACTCAGGTGGATTCAGACCGAACTTAACGTCCTGGATAGAAAAGTCTGCACTACCATGACCTCCCATAGGATGCATCATCCGAGATCGTCAGTGAAGAGGCTGTACTTGCCGCGAAAGCATGGTGGTTTTCTGAGCGTGCTCACCGTGCATAATCGTGAAGTGTGCAGCCTCCGTCATTACTTCCTGGCAAGATCGGATGATCCATTTTATAATGACGTCATTTCTAGTGATAAAGGGCTTACCCCTATATACTTAGCCAACGAGCAATGGCAGGACCCAGCAGTGCTTAGCATTTCCGACCGGGAGACCGTATGGAAGGAGAAGGAGCTCCACTGGAGGTACTACAGGGCTCTACATGAGCCCTTCGTAGATGCAATCGTCTCCCTCTACTGGCTACGTTTCGGTGACCTCTTCGGGGAAACCGAGGGTTTTGTCTGTGCAATACAGGATCAGGTTATTAAGACCAACAATTATCGGAGATATATCCTAAAGGATGGCACTGTCGACATCTGTCGAGCTTGTCGCCATCTCGGTGAATCACTTAGGCATGTCATCTGCGGTTGATCGGCGCTTTCTAACTCTAAGTACTTGCACAGGCACAGCCTATTAGCCAGAATTCTTCACCAGGAGCTCGCTCTGAAATACGGTCTCGTGGACTGGAAACTGCCGTATTATAAGTACTTGCCGGAAGCCGTGCTAGAAAATGATCGCGCCAGGCTCTACTGGGACCGGGCCATCATCACATACAGGACTATTCTTGCGAATAAGCCTGATATTGTGCTGATGGAGCGGGCACAGTCAAGGATATTTTTGGTCGACATTACCATTCCGTATGACGAGAACCTCGTGAAAGCCGAAACAGATAAGCGAACAAAATATCTGGACCTGACTTACGAGGTGACCGATATGGGGGGTGGTCGGCTGGCCGAAATTATTCCTGTAGTCGTCTCTGCGAATGGGCTAATCCCAGTCAGCCTCTCGGGTCATCTGAGGCGACTGGGACTCCGTGACGGACCGCTCCGGGCTCAAATGCAGAAGGCAGTGCTCCTCGATACCACCCGCATCGTCCGTCGGTTTCTTTCCCTTTCCTCCTAACCCTCGGCCGTTTGGTCTCCCCTGCCGAGGGCTTCCATCTGGTTGGATCTTTTTTTATTTATGTATTTTTCGCATTTATTTTATTTTATTGATATTTATGTATATTTATCTTTTCATTTTAATTTATAATTATATATTTATAGAACCCAACCAGATGAGAAAACTATACAGATTTCCCAATAATAATAATAAAAATGTTGGCGTAAGAAATTGACGACCCCTTCGCCCGCCGACGTAACAGTAAAGTGGCAAAACTGCTACGTGAACGCAGTCAGTCAGCGCCTTGCGAGAGGTATGAGCGCCGTGCCTCGGCAAAATTTAGGGTACAAAGGCCCGTTTGTGCTTATGGCCGTACACGATACGGTGCCGGGCCTGGACGTCTCCTGTTAATGGACGCCCAAATCATGGATGATGGAAAAAAAAAGATAGTGCACAAAGGGCCGCTGCCCGGAGGACGCCAGGGCGCGTCGGGAGCTGGCGCTGGACGCGAAAGCATGCGGGCCGCCAGCAGAGCGCGGGGTGCTGCAAGACCACCCAGCAGCACCCCGCATCCATCATCCCCACCAGAAGGCTTGGTGTCGGCTGGGTCTTCTCTGACTCAGCAAGCAGCACCCGCCGCTGGTGGAGCACGTCGCATGCGTTGGTCACAATTAATGAACGCAAACGCACTGCGGGCGTACTTTAGCGCAAAAGGGGAAGAAACTGGATGTTTGGCATATTGGGCTCGGATGAATCGCTTTTTTGCAGAACTGGATCCATCTCTATCCGTCACTGAGCATAACCTGACAGACCGAGTTCGGTACATCCTGCACTCTAACATATTTGGTGACGCCGAACTCGAAAGTCTACGACGTGAGGCTGTACCCTCATCGAATGGAAATGCTACGGCTGGGAATGCGGCGCCACTAGATGCGCAGCAAACTGCATATGTGGATGCTGCCGTCAATATTCCATTTGTGGTTAATTCAGACGATGCTGGAATAGTCTCCCATGAACTAAAGAAAATGAGGAGCATTTTGGAAGAGTCGATGCTGGAAACGCGCAGCACGCCTCTCGAAAATCGACCGCGACTTTCCCGCATACCCCTTAGCAAGCAAAATCGGGCTGTCGTGCGGGCTCTTAACCCAATGCTGGTGACCTATTTTAAAGCTAGCTGGGAACTTTGCGAGACGGACTCAATTCATTTTGGCGCCGCACTAGCAGTATGCCGTATTATTGGCGCAAACTTCCCATGGCTGGACGTGCTACTCAACAAAGTAGTGCCATCCCAGACTAGAGAAAAAGAATCGAGGACCGTATCACAAAGGCAAGGGCCCTTATTGGCTGACTGACAAGCTTCAGGTCAGGTAATAATAGACCGAGAGTTGTGTGCACAGTTAGAATGGCGTTTGCTGGGACAAATATTAGTTTGTCCCAGCCGGATATCATGCAGAAACTAACGGAGCGCATAGGTGACCTGAAGCAAAAAATCGCTGCTTGGGAGAAGCGGCTTCGACGATTTAGCGAGAGGTCAAGGCGGTTCAACTAGAATCATCTCTTCCAGAGTGATCAGAAGAGGCTCTATAAATCATGGGAGCGACCAGAGGTATGTGGAGCGGGCCTAGGAACGGATCAGGCTGACACTGTCGCATTTTGGCGTGGCCTGTGGTCAGAGCCCGTAAACCACAGCGAGGGCACTTGGATGGAAGTTGTGGCGAGCCAGAGTGCAAGTGTTACGCTTGTGGACCCCGTCACCATAACGCCGGAAGACGTGGCTGAGGCGGTCCGTAGGGCCCCGAACTGAAAAAGTCCGGGGCTAGACGGGCTGCATCATTACTAACTGAAGGGGTTCGTAGTTTGTCACGCTGTGCTCGCCCGACAGTTTCAAGAGGCTCTCGACCAGAAGTCGCTTCCGAGCCTCTTCACTACTGGGATCACTCACTTGGTTCCTAAAGATCAGGATACCTCAGACCCGAGCAAATACAGCCCCATCACGTGTCTACCCACCATATATAAGACACTGACATCCATTTTGAGCGCGAGAATAACTCGTCACCTGGAGATAAATCAGGTGATGTCACGCAATCAACATGGATGTCGGGACGGTGGCCGTGGAACCAAGGAACCACTCTTTATTAACGCGGTCATTGGCAAAGTGATGAAACGCAACCGTCGGAACTTCTCCGCCGCCTGGATAGACTACAAAAAGGGATTCGACTCGGTGCCCCATACATGGTTAAAGAGAGTCCTCCAGCTGTACTAGATTGAGTGTACAGTTGGAGATTTTGTTGAGCAGTGTATGGGGTAGTGGAGTACGATCCTTTTTCATCTGGGTGAGCGGATGACGGCTGCAGAAAGCTACATAAAAATAAGAAGGAATATTTTCTGGGGCGATTATCAGAGTTCATATATAGAGTATCAGAGGCAGAATCAGATGATTCTGCCTCTCTTTGCAATCTCTCAGTTCTTTACTGGTGGGCTTCGGGAGGAGATTTCAGCTTCAGAAAAGAGGTACAAAAGTGACCTACCTTTTCTATATGGATGACCTCAAGTTATTCGGCTCAAGTTGCTCCCATATTATGGAATTGCTAAACATCACTTGTGAATTTGGCAATTCAATTGGAAAGGAACTGGGGACGGATAAGTGTGCTGTCCTCCATGTTGAAAGGGGAAAGAATGCCAACTCTGAGGGCATAGATTTATCTATGCCCGTCAACTTAAGGACCCGTTCCGAGGCTGAAACCTACCGATACCTGGGTATGTCAGAGAACATTGGTATCAATGAGGTTGGTATGAAACAGTCAGTTTGCGACGTGTTTTATGCACGCTTGACCAAAGTGCTTAACAGCCTTTTGTCCGGTGTGAATAAGTCACACGCATATAACGGCTGGGTCATGCCCTTCCTCATGTATACCTTTGGTATACTCAGGTGGACTCAGACTGAGATTAACGCCCTCGATAGAAAAGTCCGCACTACCATGACGTCCCATAGGATGCATCATCCGAAATCATCGATAATGAGGCTGTACTTGCCGCGAAAGCATGGTGGGCGTAGCTCTCTGAGCGCGCTGACCATGCATAATCGCGAAGTGCGCAGCCTCCGTGATTACTTCCTGGCGAGATCCATTCTATAATGACGTCATTTTAGTGATAAAGCGCTTAACCCTCTATCCTTAGCCAACGAGCAATGGCAGGGCCCAACAGTGCCTAGCATTTCCGACCGGGAGGCCGTTTGGAAGGAGAAGGAGCACCACGGGAGGTACTACAGGGCTCTACATGAGCCCTTCCTGGATACAGTCGCCTCCCTCAACTGGCTACGTTTCGGTGACCTCTTCGAGGAAACCGAGGGTTTTGTCTGTGCAATACTGGATCAGATTATTAAGACCAACAACTATCGGAGATACATCCTAAAGGATGGCACAGTCGACGTTTCTCGAGCTTGTCGCCATCCCGTTGAGTCACTTAGGCATGTCATCTCCGGTTGTTCGGCGCTTTCTAACTCTGAGTACTTGCGCAGGCACAGCCTAGTAGCAAGAATTCTACACCAGGAGCTCGCTCTGAAATACGGTCTCGTGGACCGGAAAGTGCCGTATTACAAGTACTTGCCGGAAGCCGTGCTCGAAAATGACCGCGCCAGGCTCTACTGGGACCGGGCCATCATCACAGACAGGACTATTCTTGCGAATAAGCCTGATATTGTGCTGATAGATTGGGCGCAGTCAAGGATATTTTTGGTCGACATTATCATTCCGTATGACGAAAACCTCGTGCAATCCGAAACAGATAATCAATCAAAATATCTGGACCTGGCTCACGAGGTGACCGACATGTGGGGTGGTCTGCCGACCGAAATTATTCCTGTAGTGTCTACAAACGGGTTAATCTCAGCCAGCCTCTTGGGCCATCTTAGGCATCTGGGACTCCGTGACGGACCGCTCTGGGCTCAAATGCAGAAGGCGATGCACCTCGATACCGCCTGCATCGTCCGCCGGTTTCTTTCCCTTTCCCTCTGACGCTTGGCCATTTGGTCTCCCCTGCCGAGGGCTTCCATCTGGTTGGGCTTTTATTTATTTTTGTATTATTTATTTATGTTAGTGTATTAAACATATATTTAAGTATATTTATTTTTTCCTTTTACTCGTATATATTTATCCAGCCCAACCAGATGTGATTACTCCATCAATAACCCATAATAAGAATGTCCTCCAGACCGAATTTCGGCCACGGCGGCCTGTCTCAACGGAGAATGCGCCGATGGCTAGGACAGGATTATAGTGCCCAATTGTATGCGCAAGCACGGGTGCACTCTATATTCCCTCACTCTCTTAATCCGATGTCATGGTAAACCGACATGAACTGGAGAGAGATCAGGCGCAGGACCAACGGCTTTCCGAGGACGGGGTGAGACACTGCCAACTTCCTGACTCCGGGCAGCTACTGAGAATTTCTTGACAGAAAAACTCAAAAATTGATTTTTGGCCCGACCCGGGATTCGAACCCAGGACCTCATGATCAGCAGTCGCACTACTACAGCCACTAGACCAAGGAGGCGGTGCACTAGGATTTACTGCTTTATCGTAGAGGCAGTTTACATTTATAAATTGTAACAGGACGAACACTTAAACGGTGAACAATTATTTGTAGGCCATTGGAACACTTATTCCGTGTGGAATACGAACCCGCGGCCTCAGCGCTGCAAATAAATGCTAAGCCACTTCACCAAAGTGTCGTCGATGTTTTTAATAACTGTTTGGTAAAGTATAAGTCAGGAGTCGGAGACCCCTTTTTAATAATAGATAACTTTTTATTGAATATTGAAACAGCTACAATTGTTGAATAAAGAATATTTCTGTCTATTTTGTACAAATATTGGATTGATCTGAAATGTCCCATGCATATCGTGAAGTGTATGAAGTATATGGCGTCTATTTCAGAAACTACTCAATTCTGCAGCAAAATGGAAGTTGGTTATTTATTTAGGAATTTAGTTTTTTTGTGTACTATGTAAAATATCCTGTGTTTAGAGAAACATATTGAAGAAATCGATTCAAATGGTCGTGGGTTCGAATCTACCAGCGTACTGATGTGATCCACTCCTAACACAACCATTAAGCTTACCAAGAGTAGTTGAAGGGAATATAAGTAATGTTAAATATTGTAAACTGCCACTGCTATAATATTCTGTTCAGAACCCTTACATAGCCAGACGCACTTGGTCGGTTTTTTTATTAGGTCCATCGTAACTTATTCATGTATACAACATACAGTTGAGATAAATACAACAATATAAGCTAGAAAATTACTTTTTAACAGCTGGTACAATGACAATCATTAAAAGAATTTTTATAGCTAACTTTCTAAAGGAACAATAAGCTCAGAAACTTCGCTCGTGTTCTAGTCATATTTGAAAATCGAAGTAATTAAGAATCAGCACGTATGTGTGGAAATTTGCTCTGAATTTAAACTTTGAGTATTCCCAGGTAAAGAATTCAGTAGTTTACAAATCAGTACTTAAGTTGAGTAAGCTTAAATTAAACTTCGAAAAAGTTACTAAAGAATAAAATTCAAATAAAATAAGTACTAACTAACTAACTAACTAGTTATAACGCACATTCTCTTAGTAAAGGTTTAAATATTCTCTCTTTAACTTTCCAAGCAACTATATTTTCGTTTAATTAAGATGCATAATTTGAGAAACTCTACCGAATAAATATGCTGGACTAATTCAAATAATTCAAAGAGTAGAACTTGGAAAATAATGAAACAGCGAATGACTACCCTTGGGCAGTAATGTTATTTATATATTCCTCTCCCCCCTGGACCGCAACAGTGTTAAGACGTGTGCCCGCGTGTGTGTTTATTTTAAAAAATAAATTAGTTTTTAAAAATAAATAAAAGTGATATAATTTTGTCCAAGTACTAGGCGCTCATAAAACAGTGCGTCAAAACAATCAACTAATACAGTGAAGCGGCACGAGCAAGACAACAACCACTGAGAGCTGAGACAACGAACGCATCCTAACGCTACTCTGCACGCATACTCGCACTGTCGCGTGTCGCAATTTATAAGCGTCAGCGGCTAGCGGGTAAATATTGGTGTATGGTCTAAAGTAATTAATATTTTATTTTACTACAACGTTATAATTTAGATTTATTAAAGTTTTTTTTAAGTTATCAAAATGTCAGTTGCACGCACACCTACGAAAAACAGTTCCAAATCTATTTCTCCCACACACTATGGATCCGATTCAGCTATCTATACCCTCGAGAGCCATGAACATAATATAGATGTTAATATTAAAAAAAGATCTAAACGCCGGTTAAATAATCCACCCAGCACCTCCGATTTAACATTAGCGGACCTAATGGTAAGATTGGATGAAATGAATAAATTGCAAGATGCTAAGTTCGCTTCTTTGGAGTCATCCATGAACGCTTTATCAAAGCAAAATGACGAAATCAAGGACACAGTTATACATTTGTCCGCTAAATATGATGATGTTTTAAATAACTTAAAAAAACTTCAACAAGAAAATGACTTTTTTAAAAACCGCATTAAAACTCTAGAAGGGAAGCTTGAACAATTAGAAAAAATGCACGAACAACCACAGTTGAAATAAGAAATGTTCCGATGTCTGAATCCGAGGACAAGGAAAATTTAATTGAATTTACAAAAAAGTTCGGCACAGTAATAAACGTTCCGATTCAGGATTCGGAAATTCGTGATGTGTTCCGGATGAAGCTGAAAAACAAACCAAACGGTCCTATCATCGTCGATTTCACATCAACTGTTAAAAGAGAAAAGGTTATTAAAGCTACAAGAACCTACAATAAAATGAACACCGGACGTTTAAGCACTACGAGTTTCAATATGGATGGTGCCGCAAAGCCTATTTATGTGTCGGAACACCTCACTGCATCAACCAGACACCTATTTTATCTTGCTAGAATGTTTGCCAAAAAACACAACTACGAAAACTGTTGGACATCGTTTGGCAAAGTATATCTGAAACGTAACCAAAATGAATCTCGCATACACGTGAGCTGCCAAGAAGATATTGTGAACCTTCAAAAAAATATCTGACTAGGCAATATATGCTTTTTAGTATTACTTAGCTTTTGTTTAGTTGCATGCATAGTATATTTCTGCCTTTATTTAAAAAATATTAAAAGTTCTTTTTACGTTAATAAGCCTCATATACACGAACACATTTCTAACACATACAAAACAAACAAACTTATTCATACACTTAATTTTACAATTCTCAAAATACATTACACATTATTTGTTAAAAATACGAAAAATATTTTTCTTATTTTAAACGTATTTTATGTCTTACCTAGCTCAAAAAATAGTATCTGCTTCGTTTTAACGATGCCTGTTGTGGTAAATTGCTGTAGTTTAGTATTTTTTGTATTTACTATAAAATTCAATTCCATAGCTCACTTGCCTCGTAAATATTATCCTTCTAATAGCTCTGTCCGTAAAATTCAGTGAATTAATTACAATTCAAAATGAAATCGACTCTTATAATGTAGCAGATTCCAATATATGTGATGCTGAAGATTGCGTGTCTTTTTTGCCTTATTCGAACAAAACTCTTAAATTTTTTCAACAAAACATCCGTAGTTTAAAATGTAATTTTTCTGGGTTACTACCGATTCTTGTTCGAACAAAAGTGGACTGGGACTGCATTGTGCTTACTGAATGCTGGCTATCATCTATTCATTGCATACCTCCTTTGGATGGATACAATAACTTTGCTTCTACTAACAATCACACTCAAAATGAGGGTGTGGTTGTGTATTATAAAAAAAGATTTAGTTATCTCAGTGGATGAACCTATAATATCTGACGCCAATTGTCTTGTAATTACTATAAATAAAGATACTGTAGCTATTGCTGTTTATCGACCTCCCGGATACAAGAATATTAATAATTTTCTTCAATCCCTTAATATTATATTACTTAAATATTCAAGTAAGCGAAATGTCATATTATTAGGTGATATTAATATTAACATAGCTAAACAAAGCAGAGATGCAAATCTTCCTATTTACTTAGATATGATGGCATTTCACGGAATGTTGCCTGCGTACTTCTTTCCCACACATAATAGAACATGCTTGGATCATGTTATATTAAAGACAAAATTGAAAGCTCGTTGTCTCATCCCACAAACAACTCTAAGTGATCATTATAGTGTTGCCTTATACATTGCTTCTTCTTCTAAACAAAAACCTGCAAAAGTATTAAAATACGTAAATTTCGAACTTTTGAACACAGAACTAAAAAATAAGGATTTCAATTCTTTGTACGAGATCAAAGATGTTAACGAAGCCGCTGTTTATTTCCACAATATACTTCAATCAGCTATTAAATCAAACTCAAGAGAAGTCAAAATTTCTAGACGTAAGAAAATCTTGAAGCCCTGGATAACTCTAGGTGTTTTAAAATGTTTGAAAAATCGAGATAACCTAAATAAGAAACTAAAAAAAGACCCAGATAATGAGACGCTTAAAACTACTTATAAGAGATACAGAAATTATTGCTCATCCCTATTAAAAAACTTAAAAGAAACTATGAAAAACTTCAACTTCAAAACGCAGGAAAAGACAACAAAAAACTTTGGAAAGCTCTTAAAGAGATTACTTATACTAATAAACCAAAAGAGATTCCGTTAGAACTAATAGATACAAACAATCCGCAAGCATCGGTAAATGGTATTAACCAATATTTCGCAAATGTTGGAAGAAACTTATGTCTTAACTCCAAACCCATGTCTTAAATTCATGCTGTCACTCTTTTACTCTTCTATTAACGGATGAGAATGAAGTAATTAACCTAATAACAGGTCTAAAGAGTAATTGCTCTGTTGGCCTGGATTTAATTTCTAGTGAGACCCTAAAAGCAAACAGGGACGTTCTAGCCTTTCCGATAGCGTACATTTGCAACTTATCACTTTCAACTGGAGTATTCCCGAGGATATATAAGAAATCACGAATCCACCCTATTCACAAAAGTGGAGACAGAGGCTGTGTCAATAACTATAGACCAATTTCTATTCTTCCTACTATCTCAAAAATCTTAGAACGCATTATAAATAATAGATTAGTAAAATATTTGGAAAATAAGAATCTTTTATCACATGCACAATTTGGCTTTAGAGCAAACAGATCTACATCAGATGCGGTTTTCGAACTAACAAGTTACATAGTTAATGACTTTGACAATAAGAAAAAAACAATAGGTATATTTTTAGATTTAGCAAAGGCATTTGACACAGTCTCTGTCCCAATTTTAGTTAAAAAACTTGAATACCTTGGTATCAGAGACATCCAGTTGAAACTTCTTCAAGATTTTTTTAACAGACAGAACACAATGTGTACAAATTGATAACATCATTAGCGAAGAAGTCCCTGTAAATTTTGGGGTTCCTCAGGGAAGTATTCTAGGTCCAACTCTCTTCCTCATTTACATAAATGATCTTTGTCAGATGAAAATCCCAAATGCAAAAATAATTACCTTTGCAGACGACACGGTCCTTCTTTTCAGTGGCAGTACATGGGATGAGGTTTTCTCAAATGCTCAAAAAGGAATGAATATTGTAACGAGTTGGTTATACAAGAACCTTTTAACCCTCAATGTTTCAAAGACAAATTATATAACTTTTTCCATTAAAAATACTTATAAGCCTGACCCTACACATCGAATTGTTTCACACTTGTGTGATAATCCCAATGATACAAACTGTGCATGCCCAAAACTTATAAACACAGACTCAACTAAATATCTAGGTGTAATGATTGACAATAAATTAAGTTTTCACTATCACATTGACCTTCTAACGGCAAGAATACGCAAATTAATGGTAATATTTAAGGCCTTGAGATATGTGGGTCAGGAAAAAGTAATAAAATCAGTTTACTTCGCTCTTTGCCAGTCTCAACTCATGTACTGTATCACTTCATGGGGTGGTGCCTGTAAAACACATATACTGAAAATTGAACGAGCCCAAAGAGCACTTTTAAAAATGAGCTCGTTCCTACCATTTGATTATCCAACGTATGACCTCTATCAAAAATGGAAAGTCCTGACTGTACGCCAGCTTTATATTTTATATACCGTCCTTAAAAAACATTCCCAGTTACAATATGAACCAGAGATATTTAGGAATCAGCGCCGCAAGGATAAAGTCTGCAATATTACTTCATACAGAAGTAGCCTTACACGTCGATTTTTCTGTTACCAAAGTAGTAACCTTTATAATAAATTGAATAAGGAACTATCAATATACTCGCTTGCGAAAACTAAATGCAAATTTATTGTAGCGGAGTGGTTAAAAAAATTGGATTATAACCGTACAGAAGACTTACTCTATAAATAAAAAATGTTAACATAAACGCGCACACACACAACACACACACACACACACACACACACACACACACACACAATATGAGGTTGAGGTTGCGAAACCACTGTTACTTTATATTTATCTTTTTTTTAGTACAATTTTTGTTTTACATATAAATTAAAATGTCACTTATATATATATATATATATATATATATATATATATATATATATATATATATATATATTTTGACATTGATTATATATCATTGATTAATAATACATTATGATCCTAAGATCTACAATATCTGTAGCGGTCAATTACAAATAATGCTCTTATTTATATCTCATGGGGTGGAGACCTGGTGATTTGTAATACAGGCATTTTATTGCCTATCTCAAACACCAGCTCTTCACAGATTCTAGGCTATGAGTGTGAACATACCTGTATTTAAATATATAAGTTTTTATTATGTATGGTCGGTATTTGTGAGGAGAAATAAACATTATTATTATGTGTGGGGTATCTATATAGTTTTCTCATCTGGTTGGGATGTATAAATATATAATTATAAACGAAAATGAAAAGATAAATATACATAAATATCAATAACATAAAATAAATATAAAAATACATAAATAAATAAAAACCCAACCAGATGGAGGCCCTCGGCAGGGGAGACCAAACGGCCGAGGGTTAGGGGGAAAAGGGAAAGAAACCGGCGGACGATGCGGGCGGTATCGAGGAGCACCGCCTTCTGCATTTGAGCCCGGAGCGGTCCGCCACGTAGTCCCAGTCGCCTCAGATGACCCGAGAGGCTGACTGGGATTAGCCCGTTTGCAGAGACGACTACAGGAATAATTTCGGTCGGCAGACCACCCCACATGTCAGTCACCTCGTGAGCCAGGTCCAGATATTTTGAAAAAAAAACATTATTATTATATAAAATAAACATTATTATTATTATATTATTATTTATATAGTTTTCATGGATGGCTTATTGGTAAGATGTTATTACGACGTAGAAAAAGATTGTTTACAATAATATCAAAATATTTTTTACATGAACAATGAGTACTTTCAATAAACGTGTAAATTATTTTGATAAAGCAAGAAAATGAGTTTGTGAGTTTAGGATGTGTTATTCAGCAGAACTTGATAGACACGACAAGAATGAAAAACAAATAGGCAAGTTACAGAGTAATTGGGGCTTTTTACTCTGTCGTCTGAATTCAGAATGTGTCAAAAAGGCACGTATGGCA